TAGGCTGTACATGTCTGTGTGTGTGCATGAAGGGTGAGGGACTGCTAGATAAATGATCATTTTCATATACGCTTTGTGCGACTTCACAAAAATCTCCCCTGTCAGGGGCACCAACGTGGGGCTTCCAGCTTCCTCGCACTACCTCACCTCTTAATTGCTTTATTAAAATAATGACTTTAGCAGTAAATCACATCACCTGGTGATTCATGTGTCAATCAGTTGTTAATTAAAATACATTCTCTAAATCCTCAGAGGTCCAAGGTCTCCACAGTGCAGCAAATCATTATTATTATTGCTATTCATAAATTCATGTTCCATAACCATTATTATTTGCAACCCAGATAAGATAAAGTCGATGCAGGTGGAAATTGTTGGATGGATGCCTCACAGCAAGAAGGTCCTGGGTTCGGTCCCAGGTCCTTTCTGTGTGGAGTTCACGTGCTCTCCCCGTGTTTGCGTGGGTTTCTGCCGGGGGCTCCGGTTTCCTCCCACGGTCCAAAAGCGAGCAGGGCAGGTTGATTAGTGAGTCTAAATTGGCCCTGGGAGCGTATGTGTGCACCCTGTAGTGTGTTGGCTACTGCACGGTGTTGGTTCCTGCCTGTGCCCCTTGTTCCCGGGATAGGCTCCGGTCCCCCCCATGACCCCAGTTGAGATTAAGCGGTTAAGGTGATGGATGGATGGATTGATGGATGGATGGATGATTATTACTACTTGCAGTAGTAGCAGGAACAGCAGCTGTATTATTTCAAATGCAGCAATGCTTATTCACAGTAATTTAGCATGTTCACCACTCTATACCTTCCTTGGATTTTCCGACCGTATATTTTAACCGGAGTCATTCAGGTTAACTATCCTACTCAACAAGAGAACAGCGGGGTCCCTCTTAGCACACAGAAATGCCAGATGATAACAGGCCACTAATAGCACCAAGACGGAAAGGCTAAGTGAGAAGGTAGCACACAAAAACGCTGGAAATGTTCCCTGGTTCAGTGACGAGGTGGGAAGCAAGCAAGCATGTGGAGCAGCTCTACCTCAGGGGGTCAACCACCACCATTTGCCAAGTGGAAAAGGAACATGTATGAGCCCATAAACAGTCCTGGGCTCACAAAAAACTTAATACCTGTATGTACCTGTATCTAATACCCGTATGCACCTGTTTCAAATACTTGTATGTACACAGACATACAGCAGAGCAGCAAGAAATGAGCACTGGCCTGATACCAGTACCCCTTCAAGACCATTACGACTATGGCCAAAGACTAGGCTGCAGGCTCATTTTAGGGACCCTTGAGCTCCCTGGGTCCAGATAAAATAGGCCCAGATCACAGTTCAAAGCCCTCACCATTCCTCCGCCATATTTATATCTGCATATAGACCTTTGCCATACATTTAAACCTTTCATCTCCTCTTCCTGATAATTACTGTGAAAAGGCAAATGGAGTTAAAGCACATTAACACATCTAAATTAAAATGGCTGCTTCCATTTAGAGAACCCCTACCGGCACAGCTAACAACAACAACAAAGAGGCCCCTTCGGTTGTAATCAATTGCTGCTTATTTTTAACATGTGTGAAGTTGGGGAAGTATAGTCAACTCTTCCACATCATGAGGGTTAGGGGCGCAGACCCCCTACGATCTGGAAAAACCACACGAAATTTTTTGGTTCCCTTGCCTAGCTGAGCGGAAAACACAAGATACAAAGATCACTGCAAGATAACATGAGAAGCTGCCGTTAGCATGCTTGGCGTCCTCCAAACCGACACTGTACACAAATTTACTCATTTATGAGTTACTAAACTTTTTATGTGTCATCTGTTGCTCTTCGTGTGTCATCTGCGGCTTTTGCAAAACTTAAAAATTCCCAATTAATATTTTATGCTGACCCCCGCAATATATCAAAACCGTGAACCGCAGTACAGAAGAGTCGACTGTAAAATCAAACTATCTGTGCCCTTTGCCAGCCTCCTGACTGATCACACTGGGCAGCTGATGGCCACCCACATTTGTTTCAGCCGTGGTTCAGATGATGGTGCCACGAGGATCAGAGGAACCGCTTATTCGGAAAATATCATCACAGATGGATAAAATAAACAGAAAAACGCAGCTCGGAGATGCAGAGAATCCAAAACAAACCAGATGACAGAAACAGAACGTGGAAAAAAGATTCTGGTCTGCAATTACTGTGTTTCTAACAATTATTAAGCATCACAAGCACTGGTGACCTACCCAGCTGCTACCCCATCCTCTTCCGCCTTTAAGTACAGTTTCATAAACTCATCCCTCAAGCCGTGGAGCTGCTTTAAAAAGAAAAAGATGTGGTGGATGAGCAACGTCTATGTGGGTGTCTCTCCAGCTGCCAGGGGGCAGGTCACCTTATTAGGTCTCTTCAGCTGTACGGACGCGTGCCAAACTGGAGCCAGAGACACCTGAAATGAGCGAAGACTGTCAACTACGATAAAAGGCAGGGGTGTAAATGTAACAAAAAAAAAAGACCCCCGTCTGCATACTGCTACAGGTTGCTCCTGACTTCACCCATAAGGGACAATGTGGTTGGGGGACGAGGGAAATGTCAAAGGATGGGAAGCAAGAGGGAGCACAAAGACACATGCATGCCTACAGAGAAAGAGCCCTACCCAACGCGTCTGTAACGCACCGCACACATTAAGCCAGTGTTTAAATAGATCACACCTATAAGTCAGCTTTTGTTGTGTTGACCCCTGATCACTCTCAGCCACTTTCATCAAGAAGAAAAACTGTGGAGTAGGAAGAAGCGAAGGCAAATCTGACAGCAAATGAAATGGTTTGAAAAAAAAGCTCATCAAGAGATCTTTTCATTTCTGGCATTCATAGGGAATCTGTCACTAACACTGAATTACAAGTTTAAACCGTAATGTCAACGATGAGCAATTTCCCCTTCGCCAAAGAGAAAGTCTTCAGTGAAAAGAGGGGTTTAGAATAAACCTATTATTAAACACTGATTAATTAAACACTTGCTAATTAAACACCTATTAAATTACAGCACAGTGTATGAGAGTTCTACATTTAACAGGCCTGAAAAATAAATGAAGAATAAGATTGCTATCTGTGCAGGTTATTATCTCATGCATAAATGCACCATTGAGGCAAATTTAATTTGCATGGATCCAAAGTTGGAGAGGAGTGATTGTACAGGTTGTGGGGGGGGAAGCTGTCATACTTAAATAGAAAGTTGGGATCACAGAGAATCTGTGACACAGGAGTTGTGTTCCAAATGGAAAACAATGGCATATTCAGAGACTTTAGAAGGGAACATGTCTAAATCAGCCATTCCGGGCAGCCTTCCTGTGGGTCTGTGCTCTAAGCCGTGTCTATAGAAGAGACCTTGGTTTAAGGAGCGAGGTCATCATGAAACTTTACTGAGCAAAAATTTGGACTGAAATACAAAAAGTGACCGTTCAGTAAAATGCATATAAACATATTAACTGCCCATTTTAACCAGGTTGTTCCAGTAAACAGAAGTAACAACATAGCTACATATCTACTGCATTTACCAGCTTCATCAGGGCATATTTGCTGATGCTGGCTAACTTAGTATCACCTTCCATTTTCTGAAAACACAGGAAATCAAATGTTAGCTACAGCTTTATTATCACTGCAGTTTATACCACTTATTTTAGCTGTAATGCACTTACTGACTGCTGTGTTCTTATTCTACATTATTATATAGTACAGTACAGCACTGTATTCTCTCTCAAATTATAGGGATTGTGACGTTTTAGCCCTATTCTCAAGAGATGACAAAGCAATGAAAAAAGTATCATGTGACAACGAATGCGATCAGTGAGAATACTACAGGCAGACTGGACGAGAGTTCTGCAGGGAAATGCGGGTATGGGGCAACTGTAACCGCGGTTACTACAACTGTAGATATGGGGGTCCCACTCTATTTTATAGAAGATGGTTTCTACCTTTGGGCATTAGACATCACAAAGAGACATCCCAACTCTCCCGGAAATTCTGGAAGCCTCTGGCAAATGGACAGCAGCTCCCTGACGCCCATGAATGATGAGCACTGTCCCGGAAATCTGTCATTCCGCTATTTAGAAGTAGGAAAATTTGCCGGCAAGAAGTTTTTATCGCCAGCCTCCCTTCTCCCGGTATGCAAATCTCCACCTCCCTGAAATCAATATGCCTATGCTGGGATGTCTGACCACTACCCATTCATTCATTCACTGTACAACCCACTATGCAATGCTACTCGTTTTTATTTAGTTATTACAGAATCCCATGTGATACCTTCACTGAAACTCTTTCCACTGTTATTCTGTATTGTTATTATTTATTGTTACTCTTCATTACTGTCTGAATGTCTTTCATTTCAGGGATAATAAAGTGTCCGTCAAATATATAATATTTGCCACTACCTGAAGAATGTGGGGTTCCCCCAGTCTGTAAAAACACGTGACTTGGAGTCCGTAATTTGTTAGTGTGTCACCATCGTCATGATTACAAGGCAAAACATTTCGATTTATTTTACCATTTGTGCGTGTGTGTGTGTGTGTGTGTGTGTGTGTGTGTGTGTGTGTGTGTGTGGGGGGGGGGGGGGGGGGGGGGGGGGGGGGGGGGGGGGGGCAGAGTGTAAGACTTTCCGAGTCACAAAGTCAGTATATCCCTCATTTAGGGAGCTTAATCGACACAGTAACGCATAATTAACCAGTGGAAGTTTTAAGTATATTAAGTGCCTACTCTTTAATAAAAGAACACTATTTAGTAAATTCCGGGAATATCTCAAGGTCCCCAATGTGTCACCCACTGTGTACTGTACTAAGCTGTGCATTGTTTCACTTCATATAAAATTAAACTATGTAAGCGGCTTTAGATTATTACCTAAAGCTGTCTTTTTGTAATGTGATGCAATGGCAAGACAAGTGCGGCAATAGATAGGTGGGGGTAAATCAGGCTTCCCCTCGACTGCTCTGGACTAACAGCAAATCCAGGTGGATTAGCACAACAGGACTTACCTCATGCGAGTCTCTGCTCTGGCTGCAGCTTCCTGGAACTTCTGGTTGGTCGACTTGTAGTGATCCAGGCTCTGAAAGACAGACAAGGAGACGGCTTTCACCAGCCCTGAACATTGTTTTTAAACACACACAGGACCAAAGCTTCAAAGACCCAGGGAGTAAGCTTCAGGAATAAAATGCTGCTCCACATGTTCAACGTTGACTTCAGCATGATCCCAAATAATCTTATTTTTTTTCAGGAAATAGTGGATAAAATAATATGAAATGACTCGACAACTCACTGAGTATCATAAAAAGACTTTAATCTTAGGTACCCTTAAGAAGCTACCTTGATCTTAAATGTTACATCTTGCAGTCCAAAAATACGCAGCTTAGATAAATTGGTCATGCCGAAGCGGGCACAGTGCGTGACTGTGTGTTTCAGCATGTGCCCTATGATAGACTGGCAGCCTGCTGCAGGCATTGTCCCCTTTGCTACCTGGGATAGAGTTTGAGGCTCCCTGCAACACAGCATCGGATCTGTGATCGCAGAAAATGGATGGATGGATGTTCGCTTATGTTTCCAACCATAAGCAGAAGGTGGCAATTCAGCTGTCATAGCAGGATCTGACTATGAAATGTTCAGTAAAACCGTCCTGTGCTCTATGACTCTGGACACAAACAATTACAATGCAAGAAACTTCAGTAATGTTACTTTTATTTACCTCTAGGTATCCTATTCAGATGAACAGCTCAAATGTGACAACTGTGCTGTACAGGCGGAAGGACAGTTTTCAAATTCATAAGGTTCTTCACAGCAGCAGATAGTTTGCAAGTGAAAAACAGCACAGCACAGGCTCCAAGTGAAACACAGTTAAAACAGTTTTGAGGCGGAGATGGATGGCATCGGTTTATGATGATGAGTTTATGCGACGGCAGATGGAAGTGACTTTGCTCCAAAACCATTCTTGCCAATCACTCTGTGTTGCCCTCTAGATAAGAACTCCAGGTTGAGATGTTAGGGGATCTGGGCTCAGAACAATTTTCAAGAGCTCAGGCCCCGGAGGCTCGAGTGGCCGTGGATTTTCGTTTCCACTAGCATGGCTTTATCCGCTTACCACAGAAGCCTGATTAGCAGTGCCCAGCCAGGCCATTTAAAGCAAAGCAACACCGCGTCGACTGGTTATATTTAACATCCATTGATTACTCTTATATGTATTGATTTAGACTTCTAACCACAAAATGAATTCAACAATCTACAAATGTATCACAAACACAGGAAAAACATGTATTATGCATATCTGCCCACAGAAAGCTTGAACAAAATTTACCAAAAAAACTGGAGATGTGTAAAGGTCTGCAGTGGAGCTCCCTTAACGCTTACATACTCACATAGCTACCAAATACCTCATGATGCAAAAGTACGACGCAAAACCACAAAAACTATACTTGTAGATTAAAATCTCGCTACTGCCGAGAGTCCCAGTGCCTTTTAAAAATCAGAGGCTCTTCATCACCTCCTTAGCAGGGGGCCCCAGAGCAGCAGCAGGCAGTAGCTGAGTGACGTTATCCTCGGCTCTGCCATCCTGGAGCCTGTCACACCAGGAAGAGCAGCTGCATGTAACAGCGATTCCCGGGAGCCAGTGTTTGCCTAATAACTTTCCATGCGATGGGATTGCCGGATAAGTAGCGTGGCTAGGCGGCTGAGCGGAAGGAGGACAGCTAAAAGCCGACGGCGCCTCAGGCAGCCGCCGTCGTAACCGTGCTTGACGTTACCTGAGCTCGAGCCGCTTGAGGATGCCGGGAATCAGGCAAACCTGCTTCTGTTGGGGTTGCCACCAATCACCACCTTCAAAGCCCCTTGACAGAAATGTATCAGCACCTTAACCTTGAAAATAGAGGAGAGATGTGTGGCCAGCAGTGCCATTCCCGCCTGAGTGCTCTCCAAAGAGGTCACGAAAATAGCTTTTTAAATGTTAATGCTTTTGATGATTAAGTGTACAGGTACTAATAAATTATACCTGACACTTCAAATTTCTGGCACCATAACTACATATTCTTCTTCTGTAATCCACACACTGTAATCCACACACTGTAATCCACACACTGTAATCCACACACTGTAATCCACACACTGTAATCCACAAAGCCACATTTGTATATTCTTAATGTTAGGTATCAGGCCTCAATGATTTCTAACCTAAACCTTATATATAAGCAGAACAGGCTCTGGGAGGTGACACGCCCATTGAGCTGGTTATTTAATACTTTTCCTCTCCCAGGGCTCAAGTGTTATTATGCAACAGTTAGATCTGACCAAGAAATCTGATTGGACAAGAGGCGTTCTATGAGTGGTTATCGGAGTATAACTGCACTCGGACATTTCACATCAGCTGTATCACTTCGCTTTACAGGTGTACCTAAAAACCATGACATAAGCCTCATTTCCACCGACACGGAGCTTGTGCTGGCTTCATTCTTGCTTGGTGCCTTTTGAGAACCTGCCTGCGTTTCCACCTGTTTCAAAAAAGATCATCGGCAGAAGTGAAAGTAACGGTTCATATGTATTCTGTTTTTGTTGATTTTTTTTTATGTTTTGGATTTTCGGGGAAAAAATGTGCTCAGAGTATGACTCGTTGCAGTCTGTCTCTATTCCCTGTATGCACTTTCGTCTCCGTAAAGGCTCCCTTGTCCATATGTGACTTTATTCTTCGTTCTCATTCGTCGCTTTACTGCTGTCCTTTTAAGGATCACGCAATAAAAGTGTCTGCTAACAAGTGAACTGAACGTGGCCTCGTGCCACGACCAAATCACAGCCGTGTTATACTGGAGTACAGCTGTATTCCTTCTCGTATGCTATTGGCCGAAATGTCAGCAGGGTGCGGTGAAGCGTCTAGTGCAGCCTGCTATGTGAGCTGTTGCATGTAGGGATGCCTGCAACACCCCTCCTTAAGCTGCTGCCGCTGACCACCCCAGTTTGGGGTACAAGGAAGCAACTTGTAAGTCTTCCATGGTCAGTACACAGCCTCCCCCTCACCAAGACTCTCACTATGCCTCCACGTGGCAGCCCATGGTAACTGGGGTCTCGCGACTCCAGGCTGAATTAGTGGGAGATCTCGGAGCTGCAGTGGTCCCCAGAGGTGTTTCCACCAACCACTGCCCCACTGCCACGTGGGTAAACCCTGAAAGGTATGCTGGCTAGGGGAGCAAACCCCGAACACAAACCTGCAGTTGGGGACAGGCAATAGGCAGTGTCCAGTAGACTGGATTAGCAGCAGGCCCTTGCAGCCCATGCCACAGTGAAGGTCGTCGTGAGCTTCTCATGCCACTGGAAGTTACTCTGGCAGGGCGAAGATGGTGGAAGTGAGGACTGCGCATCCACACTCTTACCTAAATCCTTTCCTTTGCGCAAGCCCCTTGCTCCCCCACCCCTCATTAATGGGAGCCCTCTCAACCTTGCCCACCAGTTTACCTACCTTGGTTCTACACTTACATCATACTGTTCTCTTGACATGGAAATAAATCACCGCGTCAACAATGCCGCATCAGCATTCAGGCGACTTCGGAAAAGGGTGTTTGATAACAAAGATCAGTCCCAAAATCGCAGTCTATAATGCAGTATGTGTTTCCACCCTGCTCTATGGGGCAGAAACATGGACCCCATACAGGCGTGACATAAACAGCTTGGAGATGTTTCACATTAGGTGCCTGCAAAAAATCCTCAATCTGTCCTGGAAAGACCGAACCCCCCATACAGATGTTCTGTCATTAACTAACACCGTTTGCATGGAAGCTGCTTTGGCAAAAAGGCATCTGCGCTGGGTTGGGCATACTATCCGCATGCCTGGCCATCGTCTTCCCCACCAAACTCTCTATGGGCAATTGTCCAACTCTAAACGGGCTGCTGGTGGGCAGAAAAGGCGTTATAAAGATTATACTAAGGAACTCCTGAAGCGCTGCAACATCAGCCCAAGTCAACTTGAGCCCCTTGCACTCATCAGACCAACTTGGCATGACGTCTGCATCAAGGCAACTGAACAAATCAGCAACAAAAACAAAAAGAAGGGCCGAGAGATGTGCCAACGACACCAGCGGGCCGCCGGAATCGCTCGAACATCAGGACACATTTGCCCCATCTGCAAGCGAGTGTGTGGCTCCTGCATTGGCCTTCACAGCCATATGAAGTGGCAACAACGTCAACGGCGTTGACTCCCCCCCTTTTCCCCCGGGAGCAAGCGTTGTCATCGGACACGATGGACAGCTAAGAGATGCTATTGCTTAATTATATATAACCAACATCTTGATTACTGTTTAAATGCTTAACTGGCTCATTTTATCTAAATTTGTCATCCTGTTGTGTCAGATATGGACTGTCAGCAAAGCCACGTGATGAGAGGGACTTGACCGTGAACAATGGGTTCTGTAGGGAAAGGTTTCTTTTTAAAAGCAAAGCATCAATCAGAGGGTAAAAGGGAACCAAAACAAGTTTAACTGGTTAAGAGTAGTTGGGCGAGTGTTAATAATTTGCCAGTGAGAAGGGCCAAACAAACACAAATAAACGATAGTTAGTTCCGATAACTCCCTGTTCTGTGATGGAGGTGGACCCTGCCAACTCCCCCCCCCTTTCACAAAATTACACTTTGGCCAGTTTTTTGGCTGAATATAAAACACTTGCAAAAACACATATTTGGTGCTTGGCTCATACAACACCTGAGTGAAATGTAAAGCCCCCGCCCCCCAAAGGAGCCACAATGACAGTGGAGGAACTTTAGTGAGTCAACTGGAAGGAAGAGACCGTTTGTCATGGTGACAAAAAACACGATCAAAACGAAACGGATAACCACCACTATCACAAACTGTCACTGCGGCACCACCTAGCATGGCGAAAACGAGACAGAAGTGACAAATTTAAAAATAAATAAAAGAAAAAAGTAAAACCGGATTTTGTTTGAGGTATTAAGTAAACAGTCAGCCGTAATCCCCAACACACGGGAGACAGCCCATCATCCTGTTGCTTCACACATTTGTGTGCTGGCAATGACTCAACATGGCAGACGACCATCTGACGTAGCCACATGAACAGTGACTGCCT